ATCAGTGGAATGGAATCCCACAATTAGGTATTTTCGGAAAGAGAATGCCCAGATGGACTCAAGGCTTGAAAAAAAAAAATGTCTGCCTGAAGAAAAACAAGAATCAAGGTTATCCGAATCTAACTCCCCGACAGCCTCGGAGACGGGCTGACTATCAAATTTCTCCTGGGACATGGGTAACCAAGGACAAAAGCTTAATCTATTCTCCTCCCCCCAAAAACATTTTGAGCAAGCTTATCAGAACTGCTGTCTGAAACAACATCTTCAGAAACTGCGGCAGATCTGAAAAACGCTCAACAAATGTCAACACCTTGATGTCAAATACAAATGTAATCATGTTTTAATTGTGCTTGCTGGTAGAGTTTTTTTGATGTCTCAAATCGTGTCCTGATAGACAAGATATGAAAGATCCACTATCTACCCTCATGTTTCTCCCCCTTTTCCTATCTCAAAAATATTTTTCTGAATAAGAATAAGAAAAGGCCGCACTTTCTATAGTTGCAGCTTCGTACACTCCGCCCATCTTTCGGACGACTGTACGTACATGTTTGCGTTGTATCTCGGTGCAATGCCAATCAAGTTTATTCTGATTCTGATTCTGATTCTGAGGACTGAACTTTTCAGATCGGATCAAAATGTTCCCTCTATTTCAGCAGAAGGCAATGGGGCTTCTGAGTGGGGCACTGTTGACTTCTGGGAAAAGTAGTTGTTTTCAGTGTCGATACAGCATAGGCTTATTGAGAGAAAACTACAAAATGGCAGGGCCTGTCCGAAGTTTTATCATTAACCCACAATTTTCAGTCAGGTCATCTGGACAGTTTATTTTTGTGTGTGCTGAAACATTTCACCTTCTATCCAGAAGGCTTCATCAGTCAAGGAAACACACAACACAAAACTGATGCTTCCCTCAACAGCTTCTTCCAAAGTGTAACAAACCAGTTATGCTGGTGCTAAGATGGTCTCTTTGGCATGACCCCTCCTACAGAGCCAGGCCTCTCCCTCGCCAACAGTCGTGTCAAAATGGTTCAAAACCAGAGGTGTCTTGGCCTCAATCCCTGGGTGGACCTTGGGGAACTGGGGGGCGCTGTTGTGTCAGTGGGGGAGCTGACTCCCTGTGGGAGCATTTGCTCTCACAGTTATTTCTCCCCATCCCTCACCATGCACCTCCACCCTCTTCATTTCAATTCCACACATTTAGGGTTGTTTGGGCTCGGGTGTGCTGCAACAATTTTACATCTCTGTTGACCATAGCCACCTGGGACTCAATTTTATTGTACACCTTAGACAGTCATTCATAAAATCCTCATGACATTCACATATAGGAACTTGAGGTGGGCACATGGCTATGGGTGGTGGGGTGACCTTACTCTCACCCCCTGTGCCTGTGCTCACTTACAACGGTTGCATTTAGACACTAGGGTTTGGATAGAGTTGGGGTGGAGGGGAAACTGGCATCATGCCAGCCTTTGCTCCTTCTTCTTTCCTTTTTAATGGCACTATACAACAACACACATCAACAGCACATCTAGGGGTGGGGGTGTATGTGTCGGGGTCTTATTTTTATTTTTTTTCCTCACCCCCTAGTTCCCTAACTGCCATTCCAGGGGTGGGGTCCAGGAGAAGGGCAGGCCGTCGGGTGTTGACCAGGACTATGTGGGGGTTCGGGGTCTGGGGTATTGCCGTGGGCGGTGCTGGCGCTGTGCTCTCCCTGGGGTTGTTTGGACCCCCTGAGCTTGGCTCTTGGGAGCCATGGTTGGCCCGCTGGCCGGGGTGGCTGCCGGGGCCTGGCGGGCGGTCGTCTGGGGGCGCGTGCTTGGTTGTTGGCGGTGTGTGGGGGTGGTCGGTGGCGGGTCCTCTTCGTGCCGGGGTGTGTCCTGTCGGCTGGGCATGGCCTGGGCCGGGTCTGGGATATTGGCTCCTCTCCGCTCGAGAATGAATGGGTCTACCTCCTGGGTTTGGGCATGGGCTGCCCCCTGTAGAGGGCGGGTACATGTCTTGGATCTGGGGGGTATAGAGTGCGTATCGGGAATAAGAATGAAATGTATCGTTATTGTATGTCTTTGAGTGAGTAAGTGTGAGAATGAGGCTAGGACTGTGTGCTTGTGTCTGTGTATGAATGGGTATTTGTTAGGCCGAGACTCGGACTGCCCCGTCTTTGATACAACTGCGGGTGCTTGGCATCGAGCCCCTATCGCGCAGCCCCCTGTTGGGGTGTGCCCTTGCCTGCCAGCGTGCTTGGGGCCCTTGATGTTGGGGCTGGGCGCTTGGGCGTGTGTCGGCTCGGCCTGGTGTCTGCCTGGTGGGGCTCGGGTCCTCTGGCCGTTAGGCCTTGCCCTGGGTGGTGAGTCCTCGGTGCCCGGGCCTCGGTGCCCGAGCCTGGACCTGCATCGGTGCGGCGGGTTCCGGCAGGGGCCTATGAGTTTGGCGCTGTTGGCCCCGGGGGGTCACTGTATGTGGTCGCTGGTGGGGATCTTCCGGCTCTCCCATGTGGTCCGATCTGGGGGGTGGGCGAGTGGTTCGTCCTGTGTGGGTGGCCCTGGGGGCTCCGTGGTCGGGGTCTCTCCTGGGGTCTTGGGCTCTGGTCCCCCCTTTTTCGTCTGCCTCTGGTCTTGGGGGTCGGGTCTCTGCTGCTTCACAGTTACTATTAAATGTTCTATTAGAGAAGCCTTATACACTCTGCATGCTCACAACCACACACAAATAGAAGCAGGGATGCTTATGTAGGCTTTATATGTAGATATATAGATATGTATATGAATGTATATTCATGTGTATGTATGTATGTATGTATATAGGCGTAGGTATGGGCATATATATTTATGGAAACTTACTGCAAAGTCATGAATATTTTAAGTTCTTTATACATATGTATTTTGTTGCTGTGTTTTGTCATGTTCTTTGCAGGTGAACAGACAGTGGCCGGGTGTTTTGCCGTGTGCTCTCTTTGTGTATATTTCTTATATTTTGGAGTCTTACTTTGTCTTTTCTTTCTTTCTATCCTATTTAAAAAATAAAAAATAAAAAAAATAAAAAAAACCTACACTAGATAGTCAATAGAATAAATATTTCATAATAATGGTGTGGAGAGGATGGCTGTAAGGGGAGAAGGGAGGCCATCTAAAAAAAATAAAATAAAAAAAAAATAAAAATGGTTCAAAACCAGCAAAGTTCATGCTCAATAATCCAGGTATACAATCCAACAATTTTCAG